GGTCATTTTAAATTAGACTGGCCAGAATACTGGAGAGGATTCTTTAGGGAACAACTCAATCCTGAGTCCCAGGGATGGCCATGTCACCCTCACAGGCAGCTCTGCCACTCATGATCATTAGGCTCCAGCATGCTGGCATGAGAAGCTGCTTGACACTCACACAGCACCAGATCTTTCACTGCTGGTGCTTGTCATGATATTGTGTTATTTATACATTACTCTGAGTCAAAAATTCTCTGTGAAGAGGCAGGCAGAGTCCCCATCAGTCCAAGCCCTGGACTACTGAAGCTGATGAAAGATATAAAATAGCTTTCACTAAATATTCTATATTGCAAGTATCAGTGACAGCTTTTACCAAAATACCCCTCAGCAAGGAATGATATGTAGTAATGAGTGAACAAGGAACATGTTTGAACTAACAAACACACTCCGGCAGACTCTGTGGGGTTCTCTTTGTTTTATTTTTATTGTATTTCATTTTCTGTCTGCTTCCAAATGCTTGAGTGACAGGCGTGGAGGTTGGCATCTCTCACTTCTCTTCAACACAGATAGGGAACAAACATCAACATTCCTCAATACCAACCCAGAGGGAACAACCTCTCCTAAAAATAAAAGCATTTCCCTCACACCTGTTGCCACAACCTATCCATCTCTCCTTCTCTTTTGTCAAAAGAAGCTTCAACTAAAATGTAGCTTTGTGAATGTATTTTGCTTTCTTCAGGATATCATACAATCACAGAAGAGTTTGGGTTGGAAAGGACCTTAAAGATCATCTAGTTTCACCCCCCCTGCCATGGGAAGGGACACCTTCCACTAGACCAGGTTGCTTCCCACTTTTCGTGGTAGGAGAATGCCAACTGGTGCATTAGCAGCCTAGCAAGGGTGGGAATGGGAAACTGCTATGAGAAAGGAGAGAGGGTTGCAGAGGAAGTGGGATCACAGAATCATAGAATGAACCAGGTCAGAAGAGACCTCAAAGATCATCAAGTCCAACCCTACCGTGGTCACTAGACCATGGCAGTAAGTGCCACATCCAGTCTCACCTTGAAAACCTCCAGGGATGGTGAATCCACCACCTCCCTGGGCAGCACATTCCAATGCCTGATCACTCTCCCTGTAAAAGGTCTCTGCCTGATATCCAACCTAACCCTCCCCTGGCAGAGCTTGAGTCTGTGCCCTCTTGTCCTGCTGCTGGTTGCCTGGGAGAAGAGACCAACCCCCACCTGACTCCAACCTCCTGTCAGGGAGTTGCAGAGGGTGAGAAGGTCTCCCCTGAGCCTCCTCTTCTCCAGGCTGAACACCCCCAGCTCCCTCAGCCTCTCCTCATGGCACTTGTGCTCCAGTCCCTTCACCAGCCTCGGTGCTCTTCTCTGGACCTGCTCCAGCACCTCAATATCCTTTCTGACCTGAGGGGCCCACACGACGTGGTGGGGACTTCAAGGAAATGATGGTGTGGTCTGAGAGAGGTTTTTCTCATCTTCCTTTCTCCTCTGGAGAAGCTGTCTGCATGGGGAAGATCACTGGAGACTTTGTGAATCAATATAGCATTTAGCATCTGTTTTTTACAGTCCTTCCAGCCACCAGCTGAAACTCTGTAAAGTTCTCCATTCAATGGTTATCCATTTCTTCTCAAACTTTTATCACCTCCCATTTTTCACATGACCACAGGTGAAAATGAAAGGCATGGGCTGCTAAATTATATATATTTGCTATGACAGAGCTTGTGCCAGCACTGAGCACTGACAATGCACATTACAGTTCAGCTCATGTATTTCTGATGGCACATTTTACAGTGCTATATATAAAGTTGTTATGGCATCTATTATTCACTGCCAATACAGTTCAAGTTAAAATAGGTTTTATATAACAGTTCAAAGTAATATTTTAAGAAATAACACTTGTGTCAAGGCTGCTGTGTCCTACCAGATTTTGACATTTCCAAGCAATAAAGATCTTTATCCAAAATGTAAGGTTTTGGCGAGACATCTCCCTTGCAGACTTCTCTGGTTCTAATCTGCAAGCAATAGCAAAAGTAGCACATTTAAATAAAATGAACAGCCAGCTGAACTTTTGACATGGCTGTTATCTGTCTAGGTGGAAACTATGAAGGCTGCAAAGTGCCTCAAGGGATGTTCCTGACAGAGAACAATGTCCCATTAACCTGAACCTCTGAAGATATTCTGGAGATGTGGAAAACACACAAGTGAGGAAAAAAAAAAATCATTGGAACATTAAGAAAATGTCTATTATGGGCACAATTTTATATCTGTTTTTCAGGACACAAGACGGGAAGAGAATTTATTTCCTCATTTCTTTAGCAATGAAAAAAAGGTTTTATACCTGTTCTTGCAAAAAGGGCAAATTCAATGTCTTCTAAAAAAAAGCCCCATAACTGGTACCTGCACCATGAGCTCGTTCAAAGCTGTGTGCTAATCAGTGTGGCCCAGAAGACATGATGTTCTATCAATGCTCTGTGATCTCTGCTCCTCAAGATCTACATGTTTCTGGTGCTGGTTATGCAGCACCATAGAAATCCCAGTGAGACCAATCTACTTGTACAAGATATATTTTGCACAGCTCTATTCTTCATCCTGGTCCCCAAAGAACAAAGGAGAACAAATGCTATACATCAAATTGGCATAAATTTAGTTTATTAGTTGTGTTTGACAGTTAAGAATAATGTTTCCTTTTAACCTTCTTGGTTACTCCCTGGTTTTGAAAACATGCTGGAAAAAAAGTTGTTATGGTGACTGTGAGCTCAGTGAATCCTTTCTCTGTATACCCACAACTTTGACTGAAATCAGGGAAGTCTTAATGTGCAAGATGAGTCCTTTCACAAGAAATATGTCCATATGGGTCAACAAACAGCAAAACAAAACACAGTGAAAATTATTTTAAAGCACCATCTGCTTATTCAAATGCAGCTGGTTAAAGAGATGATGCAGTCCAAATAACCTCATTTTCATTACAGTTCTTTCAAAAGAGATGTTAAATAAAATACTAGTGGTCCTAAATGCTTTCCTCCTCAGGAGAAATGTTTATGCTACATTTGAAATAATTCTTGTAGAATGCAGCCCTCCTTACAGGATGAACATGGACCTTGGAGAACAAAGCAAAATGGATACAAGAGATGGGGGAAAAAAACAGATAAAAAGAAAGTGCACATATTCTTAGGAAACAAAAGCCTGAAGAACTTTGAGTACTTGAGGTGTCTAAATTATTAATTCACAGAATCACAGAATATTCAGAGTTGGAAGGAACCCTTGAGGATCATCTAGTGCAACTCCTGGTCCTGCACAGGACATTCCTGAGAATTGCATAAGTTGAATATGTTATTCAGAGGTAAATTGATATTAGGCAGAAAGGTATTCAGGACCAATTCAATAGATATAAAAACTGCACAATACATGATCAGGGCATTTATTTAGAAGTTATGTAGGAATGAAATAGATTCACTTAACTCTCCTCAAATACCTCAACATGGCCATGTGATCCAGTGCACCTTGAGGTAAGGATATCAGATTGTGGTACAGAAATGGGATCTGACCAGCAAATAAAGGATCTCTGTAAGGATCAGAAAAATCATAGAATCACAGAATGGGTCAGGTTGGAAGGGATCACAGTGGGTCATCTGGTCCAACCTCCCTACTCAGGCAGAGTCATCCCAGAGCACATGGCCCAGGATTCTGTTCAGACTGTTCTTGATTCTCTCCAGTGAGCTGGTGCTGTTATCCACAACATCATTTCCAATATACATTTTCTACCATTCTTCATGAATATCAAAGTGCAGGAACAACCGAAACCAAACCTTTTCTTGCAACAGGGTTCCCTGTTTGTCCTGGTGGATGCAATGAGATCCCTCAAGTATGAAAGGTCAATTCACACCCAAAGATACTCAGTGTGAGAATAATCTTTAACAATTTCATCCCTAGCAATGGACACAAGTCCACAAAGCTCATTCATCTCTGTGCAGTGAACCATGACAGAAATTAGACACACACTAACCTCGACCCACTCCTGTAAAACTGTCAAAATTTCTTACTTAGTGTTGAATCATGTGTAGCTCTCACTGTTTGCAAACAGAGGTCACAGCCTCAAAGCACCAGGCTACAGCAGGAACGTTTGTCCCCTCTTTGCACTGTTAACTCAATCACAATTCCTCCTGTATCACAACCAAAATCTATTCTGATAAAATTAGCACAATCCAATTAAAGGACAAAGTATAGCCCTTAATTAAATGTTCTGATTATTCTGAATCCCTCTTTTTTTGGGTTCATCCTGAGTTTAGGCCTGTAAAAGCATACAAATTAGAAAGATTTTAACAGGTTCTTGTTTTACCCATTTATTGCCTAAATTTAAGTAACAAGAGTTTCCCAAATGCATAAAAAGAGAAGTACAAAAAGAAAAATGTGGGATGTTTAACTTATTCAGGCCTCTTTTTGTTCCTTTTATTTCATATTTTTATAGCATTTTGGTGGAAAAAAAAGGGAATAAAAATAGTATGCCTTCTTTTAACTGCATCAAGAATGTCCAAATACTTTGTTACAGGAAAATATTGAATCATTTGAAAAGGTTAACAAGTTATTTCCTTTTGTCTACCTATTATTCTCTCTAATGGTAAAGCTGAATATTTTCTGCCTGTGCCAAATTCCAGTTTCAAGTTTGCATGGACCAAGAAAGCTTCTTTGCTGCAGAACTCAGCTCAATTAAACTCCCTCACTACAGACTCTGCCATGGAAAACTCACTGAAAAGAACCCAACCATTAGCCCATGAACATTAATTAATTCTTGTCATTTCCATTACGAGTCATATGGATTTCTAATTCTTCCTTCTGTCACTGATTTCCATTTTTAGAAGCACTTGATAATCTCTGCCATTTTCAGTGATGCAGTACTGGCAGCAGCGTAAATCAGCGTTGCCTTCATCGCGTTGAGCAACGCGCAACGCAAGGAATCTGCACTTCCAGCTGACAGATCCATGAATGGGGAAAGTTACTGACCTCAATCTGCTGAATGGCCTCTTCCCGCTGACGTATGGCCTCCAGGTCCTCTTCTGTGATCTCTGAGAGCAAGGCTTGATCCTGGTTCTGGCTCTGCCACATGCCATCGCCTCCGTTAAAGATCTTCTCATCATCAGGGAGGTCAGAGAAGGGAGTCTTAGGGCTCTGATGAAACAGGAGAATGGAAAGAAAGCAAGAAAGTATAAATATTGTCCAGTTTGACACAGCCTTAGTATGGGAAAGGAAAACAGCAATATAATAGATTGGATAAATGTTGGTGAAAAGGTGAAGAGAAGGGTAAGTTACATGAGAGGAAACATTTCAAGTCTTGAAGGAAATGTCAGGATCTGAAGCCACATTGATCTCCTGAGCTACATTTAAGCCCCAGCAACTAACTTCAATTTTCCAAGAGTTCTGGCAGAACAAAACATTTACATGCATCTGAAAAATGGCACAGTTACCCTGTTGTATTTTCCTGCAAGTTCTTCTGGAATTCGACACTTTCTCAGGCACACAGAAAGTCTATGCATTTGTCTTAAAGACTTGATGATCGAACTTGTAACATTCAAAATAACAAAGGATCCAGTCATGTCCATTTACGAGACAAACAACACAGATAATAAAAGGGGAAATCATTACAGTAATGTGGCTGCAGAGTCATCAGCTTGAGCAACTCACACGTTCATGTTGTTCACTCTATAGAGCTGACCTGGTTTTGCTGACACATCAGATCACAGAGTCATAGAATGACAGAATGGTTTGAGTTGGGAGGGACCTTTAAGATCATTGAGTTCCAAATCCCTGACATGGGCAGGGACACCTTCCACTATGCCAGGTTTCTCCTCCCCACTCTACCTGGCCTTGAACATCCACCACTTCTCTAGGCAGCCTGTTTCAGTGCCTCACCAACCTCTGAGTAAAGAAATTCTTCCTAATATCTAATCTAAATCTCTCCTCTTTTAGTTGAAAATCATCTCTCCTTGTCTTATCACTCTCTGCCTGTGTAATAAGTTGTTCTCACTTTTTAAAAGCTCCTGACTTATTTCATAAGTCCTCAGATACCATTTCCTAGGTCGCTAGATGTTCACACTGCCTTTGAGAGTTGCACTTATATTTGGATTCTAATTTTAAAAGCTTGTTCAAGATCCAGGTGGATCTACACTGCAAGTAAGGATGGAGGTTTTGCAAGGTTTTCTCCTCTAGCCTTTAGCTTCTGTTGGTTCAGTCTAGACTGGACTTGAAGAATGAACTGACACAAGGTTGGTTTGGAGGCTGAGCTCAAGTTTTAAACTATGAGGCACTGCTGAAGTCTCCAACCCTACAACTGAATGAGTATTCCACTTAAACAATCCTCATGGTCCTCTAAAGGTCTTGAGCTGAGCTTTGACTCTTAACCAAAGGTCACAATAAAAAACCAAATAAAGTGTTTCTGATGCTCTGAAGTTGAAAGAAGAAATGGCATTTGCCACAGCACATTCTTGACCTAAATATCCTCAAAGTCTCTGAAAGTTGTAGGAGAAAGCAAGCACAAGTACTCAGGGGAGTGTTCAGTCCTCTGAATCTGGGCTTATCTGGAGCACAAACACTGGGGATTTTCAATGAGTTGTGCCTGAAAAATAAAGGCTTTTGCTGTCTGACTGTGGCTACATCCTCAAAATACTAATTGTCCTGAATTCCCACAGGAAGTGAGGCCATAGGGCAGCTTACTGGAAGGACACAGAACTGGAGAACTGGAAGGACTGGGAGTACTTGACTGGAAGTTACAGTGGAAATAATTCCAAATCACCATGGCAAGAATGAGAAACTTAACACATAAACAGTTATAAGGTGATTTACTTCTTGCTTGTTTGCTTAGAGGTTTGCCTTGCAGGAACTGGAGGCATTGAGAAAATGGGAAATACTTAACTCTTGCAACCCCAGTTAGACCCTCAATAGGGTTGGTTTTTCAGGAATATCAGCCATCTGGAAAAGCTTATTTAACTCTCCAACACTTCTTTAACTCCTTAAAAGTATGTAATTTCTGTATTTAGAACCTAAAGAATTTGGGCATTTGCTTAAATTTAGACTTTGCCTTATGAAATGCATTCATTACTATTATCACCATACCTAGTTGGAGACAAGGAAAATAAGACAATGTGATGAAGGAAATGGGGTGATAGAGGAAGCAGAGGGAAACAGTAAAAATCAGCAGCAAACAGTCAAGTATCTTTCAAAATATGAACAGAAGATTAAAATCTTTGACATTATTATCCTTGTTTCACCTTCTGCTTCGTGAGGATCTGTTATCTAATGAGAAAGGGTCTGTTACAGAAAGAAAATCATCATATAAAATTCGGTTAAAATCATTTACACTTAAAAAGACATATTTTAATGGGATTAAGATACTCTGGGGGTGTTTTATTGACTAATTATTACGTGGCTTGAAAACTAACTTATTTGGTAGAGTGTTTCAGTGCCAAAAACATGTAGTAATGGACTCCAGAAAAAAACCCTTGGGGTATTCTAATGCTTCATTTATAGTGACAGAGGTGCCCTCTCATCCTCCCCAGTGGGATAACTAAGACAAGCACAGGTAGTTAGACTGCACATCACCAAGTAAGCTGGAAAAACCCATCTCTGCCCTCTGAAGACACAGGAGAAGTGTTTAATGAAATTTGTGTGCTATGGTTAGAGCAAGGACACTGCACCATGGACCTAAATGCACAGGAATGGCCATTTAAAGTCAAACTTTCTTATTCAGACCTGCATTGCAGTGGAAGACAACAAATTTACAAGTTTTTGACTGTTTCCTGTTCTGATGTGGGAGCACAGGATTAGCAGGAGAGCCAGGAATACACCAACCAGATCTTCAAATTGGATTAGCCCATGGAACATGACAGTTGTATCAGAAATATGCTTCATCTTGGCCTGTGTCAACTTTATTAGTCATCCCTACTAGTTGGTCCATAAATAACATGCTTCCCCTACCCTCAAATTATTCAGACAGTGCATTGCAAGTGATGCTGCTCAGTCATCTCTCACAAAAAAACAGCTACTCAAGTGTTTAAATACATAATGCTCTCTACACAGAACTTTTTCTACGAACAAAATAGTGACCCAAGTTAATTTCAGAGCTGCTGAAGGCAATTACATGAGTTTTTATGCTTAACATCTTCTGAAAAAAATCCAACCACAGCTGCTGAATGAGTAAATCAGTAAACAACAGGATGCAGGGGGGGCTGATATTTCCTTCCAGACATAAAAATGGTTCTATAATAATATTAAATACAGTCACCATGACCTGCTATCAGAGCCTGTGTGCTGTGTTAACAAATTAGAAGTGATTTGGTGTTGTTGATGGTACAGAGCTCCTCAGTTCTGTGAGAAAGTGAACAAATACTAGATTTGAAAGTGTGAAGAAATCTAATCACTTTTAATACTTCTGATGGAAAGCTACATATAGCTTGGCTTATCAGTGGTCTTCATTCCCTTCTGAGTTATGTTCATTACCGTGTCTGACAAAACCCTTTATTTATAGCAAGCCAAGATATGATGGAGAGCACTCACCAAGTCTCCACAGATAAAGTTCCTTTTGACAATGCACTGGAAGGGGCCATAACTCCCTAAACAGGCATTTCCACATTAAATTTGATTGAGTGCCAAATTTTATGCCCTGTGAATCTCTGTGTAATTTTCTATTGGATTTCCTTTCATAAATTGTTAATTGGATGTGTTTGAAGTTGTTCTTTTGTTGAGATTTGCCTGTGGCAGATTTTTGTCAAGATGTATCTATAAACTGAGCTCTGCCTGTGAAAAGAATGATAGGGGAGAAAAAGTTGAGTATATCTGATATGTTCAGTAGTTCTTTTAAAATGAAATCCTTAGGACTGAGGGTCATACTATGCTGTTGTTCATCATATCTGAAAAATTATGCCCAGGCACAACATTTTTCCTCTTGGATAAAATCTTTGCACTAGGATAAAATCGTTGCTGCTTACAACAACATTTTTTATCAGATTTATTCTACCAATGGGGAGATGCTATAGGCAGCTGCTGATAGCAGAAAGAAAAAAAAAAGCTTTTATCTGGATGGTGACAACTTCTACCAGTGTCTGTACTTTACCAGCAGTAAAATCTTTCCATAAGAAGTTTCATGTCTGAGACCTCTCCAAAAATTATCCTCTCCCAGCCCTGTGCCTGCCTCATTCCCCATTTGTATATTAGAAGAGACAGAATATCACAGGTTTTACAACCCATATCACATAATATAACCAAGAAAGGGACTGAAATAACCTCTTTTCTAGTTCCCATATGGTCTTTATTCCACCCAGAGGCAGAAATCTAGCAGGAACTCCACCTCATATAACACCAGCCAGTCTTCACAGTTTGTCTTCAGAGAGTTAGGGAATCTCCTGTAGCAGTAAGAGTGTCCTGGTACCTTCTCAGTCCTGTAGCTCCCTGTTACACCTCTAATGATGCCACTTCTGATTGCTCAGAAATTAAGGGCATGAAATTTTGACTGGAGACGGATGAGAAATGGCTCTTTGTGCCACTGAAATGTTTAGTGATTTCAAAGGAAAATTTCTTTGCCATACTTCATCAAAACTTGGAAATATAGAGAAAAGTTACATAACAGAAAGGACAATGAAAAGGACAAATAAGATGGACCTCTTGCTGTCTCTCCAAAAAGAACAGTGGATGTAAATAATCATGAATGGCATGAAGCTGTGTCAGGGGAGGTTTAGGTTGGATATTAGGAAAAGGTTTTTCACCTAGACCATGGTTAGGCACTGGAACAGCTCCTCAGGGCAATGGTCACAGCACCAAACCTGACACAGCTGAAGGAGCATTTGGACAAGTCTCTCAGGCACATGGTGTGATTCTTGGGGTTGTCCTGTGCAGGGACAGGAGTTGGACTCAATGATCTTTGTAGGTCCCTTCCAACACAGGATACTTTATGATTCTATGATTCTCCCAACTGGATGGAAAATCTAATTCTGGAGATTAAGAAGGAACTTAAGTCCCTTCTTTTCTGACTACTACTCCATTCACATGCACGTTTCAAGCAGTCGGAGTATCACTTGGCTGTAAGAGCCTGGAGATTGCCTGTGATATGCACAGCACAGTTCATAAATTCCTTGTTACCTCCAAGTTTATATGAGCACAGGTAAAAGTAGCCTCACTTGTCTAAGCTAATTTTGTGCTACAGACTGCAGGTTGTTCCAAGGAATTTTCTGCAACCATGAAAATAGAGTATTTTAGAGCTCTTCTATGACTCAGGGAGTCAACCATGGAAAGTTGCTCTATCTTCTCCAATCTCCAGCAGGTTTCTGCACCTCTAGCAGGAATATGGCCAGCTCCAGCAGCAATCAACACACCTCCCACAGCTCCTGTAAAGTATCACATCTCCTTGGGTAACATTTTGGCTTTGGCTTTCAAACAAAATGCAAATGCAGAGATGTTTATCTCTTGCTTTATAGCATGTATAGACATATAAACAGCCAGGCAACACTTTATGAGCATATCCTAGTCTCACTAGCACCCAGGCTTTGAGATTCACATTTTATTGCATGTAGAATAATGAGACTGGAGTGCCTGCATTAAGGATCAATAAAAC